AATCTCGATAAGACAAGGCTACTAGCAATAATAAAATGCGGATATCAATAAAAATTACATAAGGATATTATTACAACAAGGATAAACAATAATAAAATAGTGACATCTATAAAAATTGCATAAGGATATTATTACGAACTATATCAGGATATTAATTAAGATAAAACAAAGATATTAACAATAATAGAATAAGGATATCAATAAAAATTACATAAGGATATTAATCAAAATAAAAAAAAAGAAAGAAACAATAGTTTCAACAATAATAAAATAAGAATGTCAATAATAATTATACAAGCATATGAGGACATTAATAGCAAATTACATAAGAATATCAATATTTATTATATCAAGATATTAATCGGCATGCCAATAAGAATAAAACAAGAACTCTTCGTTACATAGTTGTATTGATTTCATGACTATAATTTTCTCTTATTCTACTGTCGCCGATGCAAGTATTCAGTGACACGTAAACAGAATTACACTTTTTCTTCTAGTTGGATAACTCGGATGAATGTGAAACAATTTCCTGCAGTCGCGTGACACGTGCGGATGATTATGAAAGTAGCGTAATTCGTGTTACAGCTTCATGCTCCGAGATATTTCAAACTTTGTCTACTGAATTTTTGACATTTTCAACATCTTCCCATCTTAATTTTTTTTCCGTTTAAGTATTGTATGAATTACTTATTAAATATTGTTTAAATTATTTCTTAAGTATTCTGCGAATTATTTATCAAGTAATAGGTATGAATTATTTAGCAACTACTAAGTATGAATTATTTATTAAATACTAAGTACGAATTATTTATCAAGTATCTTATGTCTGATTTTTTAAATGTTTTCCTATTAATAATACTCATCGCTGTGCATGGTGGTATTAATTTTGTTAAACAATTCCACATCTTATTGGATTATAGCAATTCTCTGTTGATACAAGCATATTCAACAAGTAACATGTTAAGGCCGAAACAATGGTTAAGTGGCATCACTGAAAATTTAAAATAAGTTTCCTAGCATTCCTAGACATTGACATATTTAAAACAATTAATTACTATAATAATTTATAATTAAAACAATAAATTACAAATTTTAATTTAAAAAAAGACACGAAGTGTCTTCTCTGTTACAATAATAATCCATTATTATTACATTACTATGAAATATCATAGAATACTTTATTTCAAATAAATAACGACAGAAGAATAATAAAATCTAAATACACTGGGAATCAAATTATTAAAACAATTAACTTTTAAATGAAAGTCCAGGTAACCCCGAATTTCTACTACTTTTTTTTACAAATCTCTCATGTTGCAAACGGTAAATATATATTGAATAACACTGTAAGCAACACTGTCCTAACGATTTTATCGAATACAAATTAAGAATTAATGGACATTGATGCTTTAGTCGAATAAAATAAAAATCTCGATATTTGACACGTTACTGTTTACAAATACGAAACCTTTAAATGTCCTTATTATAATGCTAGACCAAAAATGACTAAAACACTAAAACAAAATATATATAGAAGGGGCGATAGTTCAACAGACAATGAAGAAGACATTATTGTGAAGGATAAAAGCGATCACGAAGGAAATTATGATGCAGAATGTTCATTTTGCATTGGCGCGAAAAAAAATAAATTTCCCAAAGAAGCCAAACTGCGTCTCATATTAGAAACCCATTTTTCGAATCTGTGAATTTGCATACTTTTAGTTTTCCTTTTATTACAAAGAAATGGAATTTATTCTGCAGTATTGATCAGCAGATTGTAAAAAAATACTTTCGATAAAAGTATTTATGATCCAAAAATAATGAACCCCAAAATGAAAACATTTCTTTTAACTTACAGTTTTTCCATTTGGCACGATTGCTTTTTTATTCGATACACACGAACGCTTGTAGAAGACTTCTATTGTTTGACGATTTATCGAACACAGAGAAATTTAATAACGCGAAAATTCTTTCGAAAATAACGTAACAATTTCCAGCGTCGTCTCGAGGTCGCCGCTCGAGCACGAAGGGTGAAAGAAAAACGGCTCTCGTATCAGGCGCATTTACCTTGTCATCGTTAGGATCGAAAATCCGGTCACCCGAATCTCGAATGTCGCAATCACGAACGGGGAACACTGTCGAACCGAACGAATTCACGTATCAAACTTTCTCTGATCGCGAGAGGGAATTCCCTGCACGGTCCCGAATCACGAATTTTAGTTCCACTCACCTTCTTCACCTCTCGCCGACTTCCGGTGTAGAAAGTTGCCCGTCAAATCCGCCGACCGTTCACGATTTTGACCTTCGCCGACCGGTCGACGATGCTCGATCTCGATCCCTTCGACGATATACCCCGTTCGACGTCGCTCGCGGACGTTCGCGTTGCGCGCGATGAGACGAGATGAACGAAAGAGACAATGGAAGAAGGAAAAAAAAAAGAAGAAAAACACGCGTTCGATTCTCGGCGGATTTGGCAGCGTGGCGCCTAACCGGCCACGGATACCGATTGCCGAGTGACCGCCACGGAACCGGTAATGACACTCGGAAGAACTATACCGTACTGTTCCGACACACAACACTCCCTACTCGTTTCACTCTCACCGTCCTTGTTGGTCTGGCCGATGACTGGAGCCTCCTCTCGTCCTTCCCGGCCGTGCTTTGGCAGTGAAAGTATTCTCTTCCTGTGGTTACCCACGCACACCTCTATCCCACTCCTCAGAATGTGGTAACCACCGGTGCTTACACACTGACGCAGCCATTACGGTATGTACGCTGGTGTTACACTCTCGGCGAGGCTCGCTCCCCCTTTGGCCCGTATGGTGGCTGTGGGTTCCCTCTTTCCGCCTACCAGGATCCCGGAGAATTTGAACTCTTACTTTCGATTTTTACTGACGAAACTCTGGGACGCTGCGGCCGATTGTTACATCCTACCCTACTCAATCGCTTCTTCGTTTTCGTCTGCTTCTTCTTCCTCTTCCTCGTCTGTTTATTTTTCTTTCTCTCATACTTTGTCTTTTTATGTTAATGTTTAATAATGTTTTATTTCTTGTTATCTTCTGCTCCTTCTTCTTCTTCTTCTTCTGCTTCTTTTCTTCTTAATATTCGTTAGCTTCTTCTTCTTCTTCTGCTTCTTTTCTTCTTAATATTCGTTAGCTTCTTCTTCTTCTTCTTCTGCTTCTTTTCTTCTTAATATTCGTTAGCTTCTTATTACTCTTCTGCTTCTGCTTCTTTTTATGCTTCGTCCCCTTCGGCTTCTGCTTCTTCTTTTTTCTGTTCTTTAACTTCTTACTCTTCTTCTGTTTTTATGCTTCTATTTCTGCTTCTTTTCATTCTTCTGCTCCTTTTTTCTATGCTTCTTCTTCTTCTTTTTTCTATTCTTCTGTTTTTGCATCTTCTTTCTATACTTCAGTTTCTGCTTCTTCTTTTTATGCCTCTTCTAATCTTCAGCTTCTGCATCTTCTTTTTTCGTTTGTGTTTCTTTTTATGCTTCTCCTTCTTCTATTCTTTAGCTCCTTGTTATTCTTCTGTTTCTACTTCTTCGTTTTATGCGCCTGTTTCTGCTTTTTCCTTTTATTCTTCTGTTTCTGCTCCTTCTGTTTATGCTTCCTTTTCCTATTCTTTAGCTTCTTATTCTTCTTCTGTTTCTAATTCATCTTTTTATGCGCCTGTTTCTATTCCTTTTTATTCTTCTGCTTTTTGTGTTTCTGTTTCTGCTTCTCTTCTTTTTATACTTCTTTTTCTTCAGCTTCTTCTTCTTCTGTTTCTGCATGTTCTTTTTATTTTCCTGCTTCTGCTTCTTCTTTCTACGCTTCTACTTCATCCTATACTGTAGCATCTTATTATTTTTCTGTTTCTGCTTTTCTTCTTTTTATGCTCCTGCTTCTTTTTCAGCTTCTTCTTCCTCTTTGGCTTATTCTTTTTATGCTTTTCTTCTTTTTCTTATGCTTCTATCGCCTCTTCATCTTCTTGTTCCATTACAAATATACTCAAGACGGGATGATTTTCTCTTCACATCAAACTCTAACACTAATTTCAGTAAGAATGAGTCCGATTTGAGTCTAATCTAACTGGATGAGTCTAATTTATTTTGTTTACTATCGTTAAATACAGTACTTTTCTAATTAAAGACCTGACGATAGGACAACTACATGAATTCCACTCTGAGAAATGTAATGTTTCGAATTTTGTGAGCATTCTTTTACCGTCCTTTTATATAGGTGTGCTAGAGATAGTAAAAGTGTTAGAGGAATTCGGAATGCAGCAATCATGATATAATCAATGCTTTTAACTCTATGTGCAAATATCAGAACAATTATAATTGTTCTGGCAATTTTAATGCCAATATTTATGCTAAATATTAACTAGTGAAATACAAGACAGTGAGAATAGAAGAATTTTAGGGTACTGGTAAAATACTTGAAGCTATTAACGGATAAATGAAACTTTCTATCTCATC